TATAAAAAGAACTGGTAAATTTTCATAAAAACATTAAATAGAAATAGAAAAAGGAAGTGTTTCTGTTTTACCGGGTATGGCCAGGTTCCACAGCGGGACATCCAGCAGCTCTGCGGGCAGAAGGGACATCCAGTCCGGGTTCCCTCCGAGCTGTAGCCGCTCTTCGTCTTCCATGTTTTTTTACCTGAAATATCGTTGACTTCCTCCCTGTTCAACTAAATACTTACTGTTGGCAACATGTTCCTCTTCCTCGTTTTGGAATACAATACAACAATCACAGTTTGTTTATAAAATCTTCCGGATATATAACGTTTTCAAGCTAACGCCTATAAAATAGGAAAACACTTCCTGTTACGTCATCTTTCAAAATAAAACGCGAGTTTACATTTCGAAACAAAAGCCTTCCTACTCTTGAACTATGTGTCGTGTAATAAGTAGTTAAATTCACAACAAATTGATAATAGCATCATAGTATTTAGTCCTAAATCTCTCTCTAAAAGAAAATGCATTATCTATCTACATTTAATTTGTAATAGCTGTTAAAACATGAGGCTGCCATTTAGCCCCGATAATGAAGAGAAATGCAAAGAATTAAAGCCCTTTTCGTCCCTTAATCATTACACATTTTACTGACTCAGTTAGACCCCTTTCTAATATAGCCAAAGTCAGTGCCAAATAAAGACAATTCTATTAAATAATATGGAATCAAAGCTAGAATTTTTATAAAATTACAGCTTTAAATTGCCACTGTGCTATTTGCGTATAAAACATGTGATTTAACATGATTTAGGTTAGTTACCTCATTACTTAATCCCTTACACAATGCTGTATTTCAACTCAGCAAAGTGTTTTTATTGAGGAGAATTTGTCCTTTAAATGAAGTCAGGAAAATTAAAATAGATTAATGGAGAGTTGTTTACACTATCATTAGGCTTGTACAAAACACGCCATTGTGAGGATTTACCTGACCTGAACTGAAAGTGTGCTTTCACAGGCCTGAGTTAAAGCCACTGCTATAAGCTACTTTTTTCTATTATTACAACGTTTTTTTAAGTTCTCATACAAACTGTTTGGGGTTTAACCTCCACATAATCTCTGTTCTCATTACAGTCGCTCTACTATTACATTTACTGATGTTCAAGGCCTATAATACATTAAATCAAATGTTGTGTTCGCTCAAATAAAACCAGCAGAGAATCTAATTCTACAAAAATTATAAATGTCAAAAGCAGCACGTCATGGGAGCCACACATGAACAGATTACAGTCGGTACTTTGAGTTGCAAAAATTAGGCTAAGGACTGACAAGTGGCCGCTGTTTAGCTCCGTCATGTTAGGTCTTTTAGAAGAAACAGTTCTTGTAACACCAGGTTCAAATCCGGCATGTTCTAAGAGAAAATACCTTTACGATTTATAAAACCAATTTAGGCTTTATCTGATTATCTTGTTGGATTTTATAGAGGCATGCAAAGAGACTTCTAGCCTCTTCCATATATATATATATATATATATATATATATATATATATATATATATATATATTATAGTGAGTCAAAGTGGGTCCGCGGTGAAATATAATAAAATGAAATGCTATCAAATCAAGACGGATCAAATTTTTATAAAATATTGATCTGATCTCAGGTCATCAATCTGAATAGCTGTGATCTGCCACGTTCAATAACAGAGATGCAGCTCTAGGTCAACATGTACACTCTCTCTCTTGTTCACCAGCCTAATTTAGTAATAAACTGAGCAACCATAACTCCAATAATATTTTCTCGCCATATATATTAAAAGATAAATCAGTCTTTATCGAGTTTCTTTAGTTGGCATGAAGCTGTAGATGTTTGTTTTCCTCAGACCCTCGATGTGTCTTGTGATCACAAACACAGGACATTTAAAGTTTCATGACCTTTTAATTGGTTTTTTTGATAATTGTCCTCACATGAATATATATCTTCAGAGTATCTAAAGAATACACAATATAAAATAAACAGATTAAGATATTTGTGATACTTTTAGAGATGTTTACTTGTAATAGAGTATCTTTAGACAAGGATCTGATGCATTCATCTTGATTGCATGTTCAAAAGGCTCCACGTTTTTTTGTGGGGGTTTTCAGGATTTTCTCCTTAATTTATAGCTTTCTAAAAATACAGTGACCGTCCCACTCTGGTCACGCCATGCCTCCACCTTCCTGCCCCACTGTGTCACATTGTGCTATAATTTTAAAAGGCAGATGGAGGACAGCGCTCAGCAGACACTTCAGGACTCAGACTGAGAGACGGCTCATCCTCTGACACTCTGCAGCGCTGACAGATAACACTTCCTCTTCTCCACCGTCCTATTTTAGACCCTGTTCTTTGCTCTTTCCTTTCTGTGTTTCTTCTGCTTCTTATTTTCTAAGTTTGTCTGATTTTATTCCCACTTCAAGACTTGTGTGTCTAAAATGATAGCGCTAGTGCTATATGACACTTTTGCATCCTAACAAATCACAGTATTGCAACATTTCTCATTATTTTCTGGATGTAATCCAAGTTATTTGACTAATTTGAGCAAAGTGGATGAGGAGCTTGTGCTTTTTATTGAGTTGTAGGTTGTTGGGGGAAGAAAAGTAGCTTAAACAACTATTATCTATTGAGCATCTGCTCAATAGATTCTTAAATTGACAGCCAGTTGCTCAGTTGAAGTGGTATACGTTAAAAATGCAGTTATAAGGCGTTTCAAGGGATGACAGAGAAAGGTTGTAAATGCTTAAGTGGTGTAAACATGGCAAAAAGAAGGGTACATGTTGATAATAGCAAAGTATGCCAATGGAAATTTAGAGGATTTATAGAAGATGGAGGTTTAGATAAGGATATGAAAGGGTGCAAGAGTTTAGAATGTTTTATAGAGGTCTAATGTGGGATATGAAAGGTCCCATGTCATGCTTTTCTGGTGATTACCCGTCCCCTTGTGTGTTATGTAGCTTTTTATGCATGTGAACGGTCACAAACCCTCAAAGTACACCCTGTAGCGAGTAAAACTCTAACACAGAAAAGACCTGTCTATGCTGCCCCAGAACGCCTCGTTGGACATTTATCTTTTTCCATTGTTTACTTCTTGGGTATAGTGACGTATTTCGGGTATAGTGACGTTACGTTACATCCGCGGAGCCGTTACGTTTGGACCAATCCGCGGACTTCCTCACACACACACTCGGCGGGACGTTGCGAGGCTCGCTGCTGTGAGGAGCGGGACACTGTGAGCTGGCTCACTGGTGTGGGGTCGGCGAGACAGTGATACACCGTGGAACTCAGCCTGAGCACACACAAACTCCCAGCCAGGTTGCGGGTGTGTGTGTTCGGGCTGGGTTTCGCTGTGTCTCGCTGTCTCGCAGACGGCCACTGGGCTCACAGAGAGGGGGGAGGCAGGAGCTCCAACAAGCCGTTTAGGACAGAGAGTGAATACACATACTATACAGAGATGCTGTGTGAGAAACCAATGTGAGTTTGGAACATTGAACAATATAAATCTATTCTAGTAGACCTCAACAATGGAATTATGATCAGTGGAAATGGCCATGACATGGGATCTTTAATACAATTCAATCCACGTACAGCTGAGCGTAGTCCAGGATTTGTGGAGGTTTTAGGGGCTGAACTTGTTTTGAAAGAGGGGACGTGGATAAGAAATAGTCAACCCCATTCCTTATTGAAATATAAAAATAAAAATTATAACAACTCAAACGTGTAAGCGAGGTAAATGGGTCTAAAGCTGAAGCAGAACGCATTGTGCATGGATGCAAAATGAGGTCTGCTATACCAAGCTAGAATAATACTTATATGTTAAAATGTAAATTACATATAAAAGTAAAAAGGTATTTGAAGAAAATACACATTTTACAAATTCATGTAGTTTATATATTTGGTGGCTCTGGAAGTGAGAGAGTTATTTTAGAAATATTTAGGTTTAAAAATGAAGACGAAAGTCCTTTGCTAATCAGAAATCATGTGTTGTTAAAAAAAGTAGCAAGCACTCGTGTATGATCAAAATAAGCATTCTAGAAGTAAGTGAACTAGCAGCCACTATTAGTTATAATAAACACTAAACAGTATTGCACATGAATGAAAGTCCTGCCTCTCTACACGGCGCCTTTAAAACAGTTTAATGACAATGATGTCAAAACTGTTCGCTCTGCATCTGATCAAATGTCCCGTCAATAGCTGCCTTTGTGTTTCTGCGGGCAAACCTTATTTAATTACTGCCCAAATGATTGTGTTAACTAATTGTGGGGGAAACACAGCACATTGTTGCTCTCCTCCTATCACGCCTAAAATCACATTCTCTTCATTGTCTTATCAACTTCATCAGAGGCCAAGGGAAAAATTATAATATCAACCCCAGACATATACTGTCTCTATTGATGTGAACTGACCCCGAAGAGCGTGATGTTCCTCTTTGAAGACCTTCCAGTGGAAATTCCTCCAAAAATTGAGTTTCAAATCTTGCTTAAGATTTAATGAAGCCATCTCTTTATTAGATCTGGAACAGCATACTGTACATATTTAAACCCTGTTACAATACAGTCCAGCAGAATGAAAGTCTGCAATAGTTATTCTTTGCATTACTTTTACTGCTTTATTTTGTACTTTTCTCTTTATTGCTGTCCCCCTCCTCCATTAAAGCTTTTGGTCTTAATCTCATTTAATTGTCTTGAGGGGGAATTGAGAGGACGCCAAGCAAATTAAGACTTAGTTTGAGTCAAATGGATTTAAAGGTCACGTTACGTCCATTAATAAAGAGTACTATATTGACTCTGCAGTGAGGCACATTCAGGGACATTCCTTGGGCTAATTTGTTGTATGTCAATTAAGTTTCCAAGAATTTCTCAAGGCCTTCACCTGGTCACGTGGCCATGAAGGCATGATGATGACCACATGTCCAATTAGATGGCTGCGATTGCATCACCGTTATGTCTTTATCTTGCAGGAGAGGAGACTCACAGAGCAGATTTCAGTCAACATGGCCGAGCGCTACGACTGCACAGAGTGTAAGAAGACGCTGTACGGGCAGAAGTACATCCTGAAGGTGGAGAACCCATACTGCGTAGAGTGCTATGAGGATCTTTTCTCCAGCAGCTGTGAAGTGTGCCAGAAGCTCATTGGCTGCACCAGCAAGGTAATACTCATTATTCAACATATCACTCTTTGATTTTCCCCACCCAAATCCACAAAGACTTTATGACGTATGAACTTGTACCTGTTTTGGTCTTGTTTCTTGTGGATGGGGAAGTTTTACTGTATTTTTTAATGATTTACTTTTACAGTTGTTTTCATGGACCAGAACATACGAGTCATGAGCATGCACTCCTCATCAATATCTTCCAATTTGTACGTGCAGATCATCTTAAAAAAAAAAATCACATGTCAACATTGATAGCTTGTTAAACCACCTTATTTCATTGTCGGTTTATTCGTGTATGACGGGAAAGTTTGCCAATATTTCTTTACATTTAAAATAGTTTTTGTGGGAACTTCATGCACAAATAAAGTGTTTTGCTTTCATCACATAACCTCAAATAAAAATGAATCACATATTAACCAGCATGCTGTTCAGGTTGTATAATGAATAATATTTTAGTTTCACGTCTTTTTGACTCAACTTGTACACGTTTTCAGACTACAGTTGTTGAACTTTTCCATGCAAGAACATACAAAAGCTTAAAAGACTTCCTGTCCTCTCATTGGCTGTGCAGGATCTGTCGTACAAGGACCAACACTGGCACAGCGACTGTTTCCTCTGCATCAAGTGCAGCCGCTCTCTGGTGGATCAGCCCTTTGCCAGCAAGGACGAGAACCCCATGTGCATCGAGTGCTACAGCAACGAGTACTCCTCCAAGTGCCACGAGTGCCTCAAGACCATCATGCCTGGTGAGAGAAGCTTATTACTTCTATGTCGCTATTTTTATAATGAAACCAGTTTAGAAATTGAGATTTAAATACTCTGAACATGTGTATATTTGTTCCCCCATAAATCCAACCACTTCCAAGATGTGTTGTCAACCATGTTACCGTACAAAGCCTTTTTTCTTTATTAGGTCAGCAGTTTAGGAGCTCACATGACATCAGCACGTTGAAATTAGCTGTAATTGGTTAAAGCTGACCAGAATGCCAGTAGGATAGTGTGATTCCTTTCTTCTTCATCTGCCCACCCCAATGCTATACAGGCTCCAAAAAGATGGAGCATAAGGGCAAAAGTTGGCACGAGAATTGCTTTACCTGCAACCGTTGCCAGCAGCCAATGGGAACCCGGAAATTCATCCAGAAGGAGGCCAACCACTACTGCCTGCCCTGCTACGAGAAGCAGTTTGCCATGCAGTGTGTGCATTGCAAAAAGGTACAAATACACACTGTGATCCACATCATTGTGTCAAGAGAGGCTGAGTTTGTTTCTGCCTGATGCTCCTGAGGTTAGGGCGAGGTCTAATGAGAACGTCTTCCATCCCCGAGATGATAACAAGATCAATACTGGGCCTCAGAGGAATTTAAGGCCAAAGTTAACCAGGATTTTACCTTACAAGTCCCCTGGGTAGCTTAAGTAAATGCAAGCTCAACGATAGCACTATGATGCCTCTGTCGAGTGGTGTATTAAAACTTGATGTACTTTATGGCTGCACAATTACATCAAACTGACACATTCCTCTGCTTGCTATCATTGAATGCAAATAAGACTCGAATGTGAAGGAAACAGATGGCAGAGCAGGAATGACATTTTGTGCTGAAAGCTGGAACTGGTAGCTAGTCATCTGGCATCAGCAACAGTCATGCATGACACTGCAGTATGGATATAGTCATGCATTGGAGCTCTAAAATGTCCAATTTAAAATATTTGTTCTGATGTGAAAGTGCAACACACTCCTTTGAAATGTCATTAGGTAAACATGGTACATGTCATGTACTCATTTCTTTCAGCCAATCACCACCGGAGGAGTGAATTACCGTGACCAGCCCTGGCATAAGGAGTGCTTCGTCTGCATCGGCTGCAAGCAGCAGCTGGCCGGACAGAGGTTCACCTCCCGGGACGATTTCGCCTACTGCCTCGACTGCTTCTGCAACCTGTTCGCGAAGAAATGTGCCTGCTGCTCCACCCCGATCAGCGGTAAAATAAGAAACCTTTGAACTGCTCTAATGTATCATCAGTTACATCAACAGAGAGACTTTCACTTGTTACTAAATGTATCATGGTGCCATTGTTACCGGCCTGTCAGGTTTGTTAACTTTTATCTAGACTTTTGGACCATTATCGTCCAGATTTCTTATCCACGCAGGCATTCAGCCACATCTTTGATTCATTCAGCAATTCAATTACAATTTTGTCAGATTCACACGATAGTTTATCCTCCCTAAACTGCTATCTAATTTCAGTAAGCTGACGTGGTTGCTGCTCTTCAGAAATAGATACAGGTTTACATAAAAAGGGTCAATCTTTAGAAATCATCAAAAATGAATCCCTCCAGTGACTTAGCAATTTCTTAGAGTTAAGGAACTGGCAAAAGACACATTCTATAAATATTATATATATATAGTCAAAGAGTTATGGCTAAATGAACCTCACATTTAGTCCTCTAAGATGTGATTATGTACTACTTAGATTTGATGCACTAAGAAGTTGTTTAAACCTTTAAAGATGAATATAAATATGTGACGTGGTGAAAATACAACAAGGTTATCTCATTAGATTCATTAGATGAAGCATTATCATATGAACTTTAACAGCGACGTAACCTTTCCCAGAAGATATTCTTCCCACTGTGTTTCCAATCACCATCAATTCAAGGATGATCACGTTAGCAGAGATCATGAGACTGTAAGGTTCAAGCTCATTGTGTTGGTTTCTCATGGCTCCTCTGTGTTGCTTTTATCTCAGGCCTCGGAGGCAGCAAGTACATCTCGTTCGAGCAGCGTCAGTGGCACAACGACTGCTTCAACTGCAAAAGATGCTGCGTGTCTCTGGTGGGTCGAGGCTTCCAGACAAGCAAAGACGACATCCTCTGCCCCGACTGCGTCAAAGACTTCTGAGCCATTTCCAAGCCGGGAAAATAGTTTGTCAAATTTGGCACTGCCTCTCCTTGCCTATCATTAATTCTCACACATTAACTCACAGTACTGCTAAGGTGTTTTCTGCATGCGCTGGTGATTCATGTGAATTAGTTGAAGTCTTCATTACAAAGAATGCTGCTTTAATTTTAAAGCAATGTTCTACAAAGAAACACATGTGTGTATGTTATTTTGGAATGAAGCATCATTATAAACATTTTTCAAATATATATTACAGCATTTAATAGTTAAGTTGTTTCATTGCACATCTGATGACAAGGATATAATATATATTTATATGAGTTATTATATGTAATAATACTAATACTGTTTCTAACACTGTTTATTCTAGTTAAATACATTCTGTTTACAACTGTAAATTATAATAAAGACCTTTAGAATGTAATTAATGCTTTTTGTGTGTTAGCAATGCAGCTTCTCATGGAAACAATATTTTTCATAACCCAATAGAAAATGTGCATCTAACCCATTATGTATTTAGCTCAGATCAGTTTTGTTTTGTCATGTTTGGACAATAATACAATTATAAATGTTGGTAATCGATTAATTAATATACATGGGTTTGTCACTTACTAATACACCATACTGTCTTTAGTATTAAATGCTAATAAGTCATAAATAAAGGTTTAAATTGACTATGTTTGCTGTTTTAACCGTTAATATTATGTCTGTTTATGTATATTGCGTCTCAACACCCAAATATCGTCTCTTCGTGTAAAAACACCTCTGAAAATGAGAAAGAGCTCTCACTCTTCCCCCTTTTGGAATATGCACTCCACCCTTTGCAAAACTCCATCGTCTGCAAAATGACGTCAGATTTTGTTGGACATACACGATCTTTGTTTAGCGTGCAGGAAGTCAGCAGCAGGTGCCACCGGAAGTGTGTGAGGTCTTTGCAAGGGAGCTAACGGCATTTGATTGCAAGAAGCCGCTGAATAATAACAACGGAAGAAAACCAACGTATAATGTAAGATATGTGTCTGATTATCTGCAAGTAGTATCGTTATGTGCATACGTAGAAGCTAGCATCGTTGCAGTTCAAAGTGAGGTTGGTGCTGTAAAGCCACTGCGGCAACTAGCTAGGCGGCTAACTAAATTAGCATGGCTTTGTTAGCTACATTGCTAAGTAAAACTATGCAGCAGAAAAACATGCTTTTAGAAACTCGCTATATATTGTGTGCTTTTATATATAGACAACACATTGTGTGTAGCGTTAACATACATTTGTATGCTAGCTGGCATGTAACGCTATGCACTTCTTTTTATCAAATCTTTAAAAAAATATTTAATGTACTATTTTTGTATGCCTTGCATGTCGATGGTGTCTGTAATAGTTTTACCTTCACGAATAAGATTAACAATATTATGTACATCATCCTAACTGCTACTATCTGGATGAAAAGGCGCAGATGGGCCGCTCAGATGCATATGGGGAGCAGAAGGCCAGAGTCCATTAGATAAATCGATCATTTTACACGGCTATGCTAGCAGCTAACGCTACAATCCCTATTGAACACGATGTGCTATTCTGTATTAAAGTTTTGACTTTTGGTTTCTTCGGCACACATACTATCTATTATGTAATAAAACAATCTCAGACGTCTCAGCTCCTTTTAATGGCTTTAGGCCCCTCTCTGTCCATTGTGGAGAAAGATGGGTGGGGAAAGAAATGTAAGACATCTTTTTAAAAGAGGACATTTTAGGTGCTACAAGTGGTGCTTTGAGTTTTGTATTTTTTCTGATTTTTAAAAGCTTTTCTTTTAGGATTGCATTTATATCATATGTTCATTAGTGGGGTGTGGCCTTACATCTGTCATGTGTTAGGTCATCAGATCTTCAGATGTCTACTGATAAAATGAGTGCTGCTGTACCCAACCACCGGAGGACTAAGCCTGGAGGTAATTGCATAACGTTTTCTGGTTCAATCTCCAATTTAATTAAAATGTTTAAACCTATTTTTCAACACTTTTTAAAATCTGAAATCCATTATCCCTTGAATTCAAAATGACTTTAGCCGAGTGAGATTGCAGCTGTTGCTCCCTGATTATGCAGTGCATTTGAGATGTGGATGTTTGCTTTGATGAATTTGTTGATAATAGGAGCCACAGATGTAATTCTCATGTCATTGCAGGAATTAAGACTGCGGTTGTGGTCGAGGGTGCCACTGGGCCAACATCCCAGATCCCAGGTCTGTCCCAGACTGCCGATGAAACCTCCCCTCAGGAGAGGAACAGCGGGCGGAGGGTCGGGATCTTTGCTTCAGACTCGGACTATACCAAACTCGCAAAGGGGGGTGGACACAAAGGTAAATATTTCTTTCAAATTAAAATGTGTTCGTTAAAGGTCTTTCGGCCTTGTTTTCAAAACCCACAAATATTCGCTTTGATGGGATGTTAAACAGAAAAAAAGACAACAACATTTTCTGCCTTTTTTGCATTAAAAACCCACCAAAACGAGTTATTGTTAAACCCCTCTGATGATATTTAACGGCAATTGAAATATCAAATTGTGCTTTTAAAGGTGAGATACCACATCGTATTTCCTAATCGCTGGCAGCATTTAATTTAAACGTGGTTTCTCCCTCTGCAGGACTGCTGAGTCATGAGAATGACAATAATGATCTACCCAAGAAGGCCTACAATCCATCCAACTTCTTCGGGAGCAATGGGTCAAAGAAGTGAGTCACTGTTTAGGCAGGAATAAGCTAACTATAACAAAGTGGAGAGGCATCTGTGCATGTTGAAACAATGGATTTGTGTCATAACAATTAACAATGTGTGTTTAATAATTATTCAACAAATATCAAACTTAGTAAAGGAAAAATCCTTCAGTAAATTAGAGTATTGATTAACCACTCCAAGTCTGTTATCATCAAACTGGTGAAGGTAACAAACATTCCTAAATGCTCCTTGATCCTCCTAAAAGCCACATAAAGCCAAGCGTACGGGCCACAGCCAACATATCCCATAATGTGCTAAGTGGCCAGCAGTAACATCGTATGTCACCGTGGTTTTGTGCTTACAGCGGGAGCAAAGCAACGTCTCCCGACAGCCAGATGAAGGCGGGCATGCAGCCTCTTGCTGCACCGTTTGGCACTGATAACGGTTCCGATTGGGAAAAAGACAATAGATTTTCCCCTGATAAAGAGCAGGTGAATAAACCAAACTAGTCATCCCCAACATTTATACCGTGTCTTCATCCTTTTTATTTAAAATTTCACATTTTTACCACCACCTTTCCCTTACTTCATTTTGCTCCATCGTCACAATCGCTCTTTGGTTTGAATTCATTTGGGTTTCATTTTCTGCCGGTGCGGTAGCTTTGTGGAGAAATGTGTAAAGGCTTCAGGTAAGTAGAGAGTGATGCATTGATTGGACCAGTAATCATTTATACATTTTGTTCTTATTTTTGTATAACTGAAAACTACTAACCTCCATATTTCTTGGAAGTCGTAAAAACTGTTGATACTGAATGAGGTTTCCTCATCAGAATGTAACACATGAAATGTAGTTTCACAGAGTAGCTGTCAGATTTACTTCTTGGATAGTTTCTCTTTAATTTCAGTGTTTTGAGAGAAATGAGAGAATAAACAATGATTTTGTTGGCTGCTGCTGTTGGGTCTGTTTTTTTCATTCCACTTTCTTTAATCCTTTTCCATTGCATGACAAATTGCATCTAACATTATATTCCCACTCATCATTTGCTTCATCCGAAAGTGGCTGCTGCGTTCAGGTTTTTTAAGTAAGTGTGATAAAAAAACAAGCATTAATCTAGGAAACTATTGAATCCACAGATGTCTCCCGATGGAGTTGCCGATGAGTTGGGTGGTCTGATCGTGACCAGCCAATACAAGAAAACGTGAGTATAAAAAAATCTTAGTGCATATATTTAGACTTCACAATTACCTAGATTCAATTGATTTATCATTAGGGAAGTCACTCATTTTGTGGTCGTCTGCAGGAATTACGAGAAGAAAACTCCCCCTGTCAGCATGACCAAACTGCTGAGTCATGGTTACATTGAGAAGAAGACTCCTAATAATGACGACGACGCATCAAGTACGCAATGATTTCCTTCTGGTCTGCAGCCATGTTTTAGCTTAAATGTTGTGAAAAATATTAATGTTATATTATATTTCCTTCCAGGCGTGACTTCAGAACAGACCAGCACCACCATGACGGAGGACGTGGAAGATCTGGAGTAGTGCACGTTGTGCTCTGAAGGGAGAGGGGGCTCGTCCTAACACTAGTTCTTGGTTTCCACAGATCCACGAACACATCACCCCCCCTCTCAGATTCACTCATTAATTGTACATCCACTGACTGTTAGGTTTTGTACTCGTGGTTATGCAAAAGGTACGGTCCTCTATTTATTTGCGTTAATTTGTAAAAATTCACCCGGATTTTGTTGAGTAGATGTTTCGGTGCTCGCGGTATTTTCTTTTTTTTAATTTCTGTGTTGTCGTTGCTCGATTTGAAAGACGGGTTGTGCACAGGGCAGGAAACTAACTCAACGAAACACTGGCTGAGTGAAAACCCCCAGCTGTTTCACTCGCCAGTTTGAGTTTAAAGTGGAGTTCATCTCCCCAGCCGGATTAAGTCCACCTGCTTTTGGCTGGTGTTAGTTTCCCTCCCTGGTTGTATGAAGATCGAGTTGGTGAATTGAAAGTGTTTGTGCTAATGAAATGTGGTTACAGTGACGTGGAATATTATTTGTTTAGATGAAGGGCTCTGTGAAGAGAAGTCAGATGGTTGTGTGTTTCCGGCTGCAGGGGTGGAGAGGATTCCCCCCCCCCCCCCGCTTGCAAAGTGCATACTGATGGTCGCAGCAGCCCTGTTTGTTTGGTAGAAAAGCGCCAATAATAACTCCTTACGTTCTGCTTTGCAAAAGGTTGCCCTTCTTAACACTCCCCGGACTAATGTGTTCATTTTGACTCCCTAAAATCTAAGAAATATGCCTTATTTGATTGTGCAAGCTGCATTGTTATGCTGCTTTTAGTCCAATAATTAGAATACAAGCCCTTTAAGAAGACGCCTAGTAATGAAACACTAAATTACCTTAAAAGATGTTTACAAGTCACCAGAAGAGGGTGAATCCATTCTGTTGCTGCAATATGAATTTTCTCGTCTTTACCAGAAAGTGAATCAGTAATAATGCCAAGTGCGTCAGAAGCTAATGAAGGAACTAGATTGGGTCTCCTCTACGTTTTAAAGCCCTTCAGTGTTATGTTATTGCATTCCCGTTCAGCCGAATAGACCCCAAGCTCATGCAACAACAGATAAGGAGTTCTTTGAAATGTAGGGAGAACGGCCACCTTCAGCACAAGTAATTCCCTGTGAAGATTAAGGCAGTTTTAACGTGAGTTCTGAACATGCCAACCAAGCAGTTTTTCCCTGCTCTTGCAGTGTTTTTTTTCAGTAGGATAACTTAGCGTTAGCCTCACACCAAACCCACTGTCCCATGTTTGTCCATCTGATGAGTTTATTGGGCTCAGATGAGACGTGTTTACTGCGGCAACATTTCTGCATTTGAAACATTGAAAATGTATGAGCTGCTGGTCGTTTAGATAAAAAACATGTGAATTAAGAATGTGCCATTTCCTTTTCTAATCATTCCATTTAACTCGAAAACATGATCTAAATGTATTTTAAGTGTATTTTATTTGTAGCTAACACTGTCTAGATCATGGTCGGGCAAATGTTTATTTTTAACACTTTGATCTCGAAATGGAGATTAAATTGTTAACTTTGTGGTACTATAAGGGTCTTGAATTAAGTTGAAAGCTGCAAAAACAGTCAGCACTCTTCACCTTTTTTGTTTTTTATTATTGCTGGTGTAGAAGCCAGATCGTTTTCCCCATTATGCTTTGAGTGCCCTCACAGTTGGCCAAACTACTCCCAAACCCTAGCAGACAGTAGAAATAATGTACCTCTTTATCCTCGGCTTGTTCGTGGGGTATTTTAGAATTATTCTGACTCAGGATATCTCACAAAGTCAAAACATGTCTGTTACATTTGATGGACAGTTCAGCCTTGAGTCATTACATTTTTAGCTCGACTGAACTGACAGCAAAATCCTAATCCAACAAATTGTAGAGCTGCAAAAATGCTCTTATGAATGAAAAGGGAAAGTGATTCATTTGGGTGTAACAGTTCCTCCCAGAAATGATGCAGCAGTAACAAAGTCATTTAAAAACTATTAGCTTCAAAACTCTTACAGGAAGTGGTCAACACAGCTGTCCGGTTAAGGGTTGTCACTTTTATTTCAACACTATATATATTTAAGCATTGATGCATAATGTATCTGTATGTGGTATTAAAAAGTGTCAAGTGTCCAAAATCGATGCACTGGATTTTGTTTTGGATATTGTTTGCTTTGCAGGAAAGGCTTATTTGTATGGAATGTTAATTATACTGCAGTTTAAAATAATGTTTTGCTTCCTCTTCTCCCCGTGTGAGTTGGTTGTATATCAGTTTACAAACCGATAGTGGGAAACTTTGGTGGCTTAACTCTGCAGCATCCTCCCTCCAGTATTCTCACTTGTTGTCGTCCCCTTGCTATTGTATCTGCAAGTGGTATTAGTTTACTTTTAAAATGCAAATGTACCAGAAGAGTGTGAAGCAGCTTTTTAAACAGAAGTGTGTAGTGAGGAGAAAATCCATGTAAGACCCCGCTTATCGTGATGATTGCACAGACTCTCAATTATAATTTCAATAAATGGGCATGTGCATGTACTTTGTGTGCTGTTTCCTTCTTTAAATATGTTGTACTCGCTAGCTTGACGTTACTTAAATATCATGCTTCACATTATGTTAATTGATGCAAAGAAGAGATTTTCCAAGCATTTCCGGTTTTTCTTCGCTTCCACTCGATTGTTAAAAGGAAATAAGGTGTTAAAGTTACAGCATGTGTAGTGTATTCCCTTAAAGATCTCCTATGATGCTATTTTAGGCATATATTATGGGTATCAGATATATAAAAAACATGTGTTTTGCTCTAAATACCAAACAGATAATGCATTTTAGACAACCCTCATATCCCTCTATTTCAGCCCTGTTAGAGAATGGCTGATTCTCTGCTGGCCCCGCCCCCTTTTGAGCACCAGGCACACTGAGTTCTGTGAGCTAAATGCTGTGATTAAACGCCATATCATGTTCCAAACCACTTCAATGATAATATCTGAAACAGTATGGAGCTCAAATGCTTATTTTCTTGCGGGTTTACCACAAGGTGAGTTTTTTTACACATACTCTCTCCAGTACAGGTTAGCTCTGAGTGTTAGCGATGCTAATGTAAACAAAAACCATATTGCGTCCAAAACACGTCACACATTGTTTCTGATAGCAACATTTCCGATATTACGTCATATCGGACGCAAATCTGGATCAGCGCCGTTGTAGCCTATCCTGTTTTTAGAGATTTTGGTACGGAGAGAGGGTTTTATTTTCTTACACGTTGTGAGTTCCCTGACACACCGGGGACACATATTTAAAGTGGACCTATCATGCTATATTTGAAACATATATTGTAGGGCCATACCTTTTATAAAGTATATAAATCTTTTTTTTTCTTCAAAATACCAAACAGATCCTGCATTTTAGCCATGCCTCATTTCGCTCTATTTGCTCTTTCCAGCCTTGTTTTTGCAGGGGGCTGATTCTGTGAGCTGCAACTGACCACGCCCCCCTGCAGGAGAGGGGAGTTGGCAGTTACTTTGGCATTAGGGCAGGGATATCTAGATACTTTCCAAGGTTTGACATAATGAATTGTGCTACTTTTAAAGCAAGCAACGATGTTTTCAAATCTGTAATCAAGAAGCTCCTCAAAAACACTATCGAAGCAGTTAGTTCAAACAGTAATAACGGACTATTTTTCTTAGCGGATGCATGTCAATTTAAGTCAATACATACAACTATTTTTTAAATCAATAAAATCATTTTTTAAATCCATAAAAGCATTTCAATTAATATTGGGAGTCATGTCGTTACTTTGTTGAGAATGTGGCCATGTAATAAGCGGGATAATGTGCAGCAAAGCGGTCATTATGGGGAAAATATGATTATATAGAGTCATTATTCATTTGTTTTAAAGCAGGAGGCGCAAAAGCTTGCCTCGGGGAGGGAGAAAAAGAGCCACAGCGGAGAATAAACAGAAGGGCAACCATGCAAGGGAAGTCTTCTTCGCTGCTTTTGTGGCAGACTACAGCGCCACTTACAGGCCTGGCATATGTACTACAGCGTCTCCAGCGCTTTCGAGCAGCAATGGCTGGCCGTGGCCCAACCTCTCATTCTCCTGATAGGTGGAGAATTGACCAATAGCCGTAGCGCTGACGTCAGGACAGTGTTCAAATCTGGATCAGTCTGTATCAGATCCGTTGCAGCCCCTTTTTTTTTTTTTTAGAGATTTGGGTATGGAGCAAGCGGCAAACTGTGGGGTAGAGCCGGGAAGCCAATACGGAAGTGCCACACACTGCAGTTCATATATTAGCCGATAGGCGATGGCTGCAGAAAGGAGCAATTTCCATAGACCCCCATGTTAAAATGCCCAATTTTACAGCAGAAAAAAACATGTTTCTACCCCTGGCTCCATACATTTTTATTATCGATATAGTTAGATGCCACCTTCATGATTATGGATCTGTGAGTGAATTGTTTTCTAACGCGACCCTTTTATTTATATTAGGTCTTAAAGTGTGTGCATAAATTAGGGCGTGGTCACATTGAGTGACGGCTCTGTGAAGTGACTGTCGCTGTTAGCTTCTTGTCTCTCTGCTACCTTCTCCGTGAAGCTACAGGGACTCTGCCTGCTCAGCTCATCCAGGAAAACACAACTTGTTTAACAACTTGCCGTGGTTGTTTGTTCTTCATGCTTAGCCTATATATCGGACTATTGTGACTCGCTCTGCGGTTAAAACAGACGGTGCATGAATGCGATAAGTGAAATTCGAGTGCTTTATTTATGTGTTAATGATTTTAATCAGCTACGTAATGAATGGTAAGGCTTGGGTTAGCATGTAAGCTAGTGGTAGCTCCATCGGTGCCAACGATGCTAATCGTAGCCTCCAAGTTAAAATCATAGACTGTATATATAAAGGTTAAAACGAAATAGACAAGTGTTAAGCGTTAAGTGGGATAATACTGTTGAACAAACGGCTTCTGTTTGAGGTTGATAAAATAAGGTTACATCCTTGTAACTTAGAGATATTTTATTATGTAGGTAGGAACTGTATGCATCTAAGGTTAATTTAAATTGGCTATGCTCAAGTATGTAGACAAGCTAATGTCGAAGTAGTGTATGTGAAATCAACCTCACAATAAGATGTGTATATATTACAATTATTAATGTCATATTTCAAGATGATTACTTAGATATTACAATATGGTTGGTTGAGCTGGAGTTCATTATCGAGCTTACACGTTAAAGGTTTGAGAAACCGGCTCGAGATACACTTTTTGTTATATTCCATGGAATGCTCTTAACATCCCGGTAGCAATGAATATGTTAAGTGCTTTGACAAAAAATCCATAAAAAAATTTCATCTGTGGAAGCCGTAATACTGTAACAAGTACAACCAATCCAATTGGATTGCCGACCTGTCTGTCAGCCTTCCATCTCGTGCACGCACAAATGTATCTTGTGCCGTCATTGGGCGTGCATTGCAGCAGTACTTCGATGACTCGCCAGCAACAGGCGGCCACTTTCATCAGTCTGCTGACGTCATGTGCGCGTTCATGTGTGTTGGAGGAGGTGCTCTGTAAGGAAGGGGCGGATTCTTTTCGGCTGTGTACTTTCAAATTTTAGTGCACTCGAGCCGGTTTCTGAAACGTACCTACCCCACCTTTAACGTCACAGTCATCTGAAGAACGAATACAAACCTTGTTGTTTTTATTAATTGCATTACCAAATTGGTATCAAATAAACAGTAAGCATTGGTAACACAACTTCCAAAGTTACAGTAAAATAAAAAGGACCCTGACTCGGACAATACACAATCCAACATGTTCAACAGAAGAGAATCAGTTATATTGTTTGTACACATGGTACTTTACATATATATATATATTAGGGCTGTCAAGTTAACGCAATTTTTTTTTAACGCCACTAATTATTTTAACGCGATTAACGCATGTGTATTTTTTTTCCTCGGCCGCCCCGTAGTTTCAGAGCGCATCGAGTTTAAAATACCATCTACAAGCTGATGCTGACAGCCCCGCTCCTGCCGCCCGGTTGTGGCAGACCACACTTCCACGCTCACTGGCAGGCACCGACTGGCTATTGGGGGGACCGGGAGGGTGCGTGTATGTGTGGCCCGAGCGAGCGAGAGAGAGACCTTACGTGCATTGTTGTTGTTAGCATCTGGTGCTAGCTAGCTGCGCTAACGGATAAGGAGCTGTTTAAATGAAAACAGAGGAGCGACATTTCGCCACAACTGCGCCGAGCACTTGACTTTATGCAGGAAGCCGTACGAAAAGTCAGCACACTCAGCACGAATAGTGCGCAACATGATTGCAGCGTCCAGGCAGCTCCCGTTCGAGCATAGGCCTATGCCTTGAGTTGCACATAGCGCCAACGATCCATCACACACACACACACACACACACACACACACACACACACACACACACACACACACACACACACACACACACACACACACACACACACACACACACACACACACACACACACACACACACAATTTGTATTGTATTATTGTATGAGAGAGGTTCCAGGTTGAATTGAGGCGAATATTTGTAATGTTCATAGGTTGTTGTGTTTAATATTCATGAGAATATTTGTCATTGTTCAAATGATAATAAACATTAGCATAAAGCATATTTGTCCACTCATATGTTGATAACAGTATTAAAAACTTGAAAAATATTCCTCTAAGGTACATTTAGAACAGATCAAAAATGTGCGATTAATCGCGATTAACTATGGACAATCATGCGATTAAATATTTTAATCGACTGACAGCCCTAATATATATATCTGTTTGTTTAAGGTGCCCAGGTGATGCAGACAGGCTGGACCAGAGAGTGAGAGACAGAACTGAACTCCTCACAGCAGTGAACTTCAGCACCAGTACAAAGACTCTTTTTTTCATACTGTACAAAGAATCAAGAACGATATTGGTTTAAATGAATGAAGTATTGACTTGAATACACTGATATACATTCCATTAAACAATACTAAATACTAGATCACCTACACATCAGTTAAGTTGAGGGTTTTTTCCATGCAAAAAGTTACATTTAGATATTTAGCAATATGACTTTGTCAGCTTTCTAATTTAATGTATTGAAGGCAAAGATATTTAACACATAGTGAGAACTGCTACTATTTATCTCTCAATATTGTCTGTAAAAAACGTGGTAAAAGTTATTCTTTCAGTGAGACAACAGAGCAAGCTTCTACAGTTGCACTACGTTTTGATAACAGTTAAATATTATTTTGATAACATATATTTCAATGTTGATGAACTTCATACTGTTCATTCATAATCTGATTGTCTTTGTAGCTCACTGTTAAAATAAAACAAAAAACATTACAATTACAAAATAATTATATCTACAGCCCCTAAACACACAAACACACCGCTTTCATAAATAACACACTTGTTCTGCAATAATATGTTTTATGTTTCCTGTCATTTTTGTTAGGAAAGGACATGCCTGAAAGACACGACATTTTCTCCTTCTCTGAGGGTCAAGAAGAACATCCAAGAGGAACATTAAAAGCTGATGTTATGAGATTTTAAGACCAGTACAGGACATTCACTAAGAAACTACTTTTATGGTAAAAACAGTCAGCTGATCGAATGCAGCTATTTCCACATCTACACTCCATCCGCTGATTATTTCTATTTGCCTCGCTTTATGAGCTTCACATCACTTGTGCCTTGTACCGCAGAGTTTGCAACGTCACAAATAAATGGGGCCAATCTTCAGTCAGATGTGAATGTGTAATCTAACATTTTCAGTAAGAATGATGGACGAAAGGAGTGCAAATACAAATACAATTTATTGAAATGTGAACCAAAAGTTAATCAAATGTTTAAAATAAAAAGCACATATGGACAGAAGGTGTAAACCTATTAAATGTATAAGTAAACACATTTAGTCAAATAAAGTGACAGACTAGGCCTGTGCAGTTGGTATCAGCTGTGCCCAGCATGGGCTCCTCCATCAGGCCTGGTCCTCCTCGCAGAGGAAAGACCCTCAGTCCTCCTCGCAGAGGGAAGACCCTCAGTCCTCTCCACACCAACAGACAGGACGTCCATCACACGGAGGTTTCTCCCTGAAGTCTCAGCAGCTCTCTGGACACCATGCTGTCTCAATCCGTCCGCACTGAATATGAGAGGGGAAAAATGAAAATAATAAATGCTTTAGACAATAAGAAACATAAAGTTGACTGTTGAGTTGCTCAGTTTTTTTAGATTGTCAATACTATTACTGTATAACTAATATCTCAGGTTAAGAGGCACATTCAAATAAAGATTGGTCTTTAAATACATTTTGTCTTTTGAATTGTTTGTCTAAAGTCAAGGATCTAGAACTGGTACTTAGTTTTAATGATAGTCTGGTTATTATGCTGTTTGGAGGAGGCCTCACAGGTAAGAGCGCTAACTAGCTACCATCACATGTACCTTAGCTTGACTTAAATGTATTAAACGTATAGTTAAGTGATATCAAAATATAAATAACTAATGTCATGCAAACATATTAATATTTGCTTGATTCCAGTGTTGAATTTAGCACAATTGCATACAAACGTTAAGGGGTTTTAAGATTCTGAAGTATTATGCTAAAAACTCAATAAGTTAGATTATTATTTATAGTTTTGCTGAATAGTTTCATGTCCGCTTACCTTAGAAACGTAAAATGCGACGGCAGCGTGCAGATGGGGAGCATGTTAGCTTAGCTTGGTAGCTTCATCTAGCTCTGGAACTTCCAGCTCGGTGGCAGCAGGTCCCGCCTCGGCTCCGCCTCTTTGCCCTTATTTGGAGCAGGCAGGAGAAGGCGGGAGTTGAACTCTGACGTCACTGTCGAGCCGTTAGTGGCAGACTCCGCCTACTAAGGGCTTCACGGCAACTGCAGAATCCTATGGGTGACGTCACGGACCCTACGTCCATTATATACAGTCTATCTATGGTATGGAGGAAAATAGAGCGGGTTGTGTTTTCTGACACTTGGTGAGTTCCCTGGAACACCAGGGACACATATTCATGTATAAAAGACGCACAAAAGTGCATTTTGCATGATAGGTCCCCTTTAAGTATAAGAGACATCAACAAGTGCATTTTGCATGATAGGATACCTTTAAGGGCAATTTCCCCCAATTTGTTTAATATCTTTATACTATCTATGTGCAAATAATCCAATTCAGTTTTTTTTGGAATAGAGACACGATAAAAAAAAAAGGCAATTATAGATTTTCCTATTTTTAAATCCCAATGTATATTGCTTTTCATTTTGCAAATACAAAACAAACATGAATGTGTGTCAATGGGGTGAGTAACGTTTTTTTAAGTGTTGAAGATGGACTTGCATCATTTATACTGTACTTCATGAACTTTAACTAGGCTATTTAATTATGCTTTGGGAGTCCCATTAGGACCAGTCAAGCCTATAGCAATGTGTGTGTGTAGAGGGGAAAACACACACGCACACGCACGCTCAGTATCGCTGCAGGCTGCATCCCTCCTCCTGCCGCGCTGTTTGCACTGAGCCGCATCGCACCTCACACCGCCGCGACACAAACGCGCCGCATCCGCGCCTCATCGATCCGCGTATCGGAAACCGATCGGTAACCGCATGGTGACGTCACGCCGCTGATTGGTAACAGCGGCTGGTGGGCGGGTGGCTGTGTGACACTCCAACGCCAGGGATAGATGGGCGCATTGAAACCAAACACCGGATAAACGAAAGAAAAGACAAAAGAGGAACGCGAGGACGTGCACGGGGAGTGTTTGTTTTGTTTCTCCGTCAGTGCGTGGGGAATGTAGCTGTCACAGCCGCCTGCGGGAGGATGGATGCGTAACAGCACGGATCGAGCCAGCTGTGGCCTGCTTCTAACAGCAACATCTGGCCGGTGAGTCGCACGGAGCCGCTTCGCAGGCAACGCGCAGCTTTTTCTCACCCAGGTGGGGACACAGAGAGGGGGACACAGTGCAGCCCCTCTCCCCGGTGTCCTGTCCGGGGAGTCGCTGTGACCTCGTCCTTGGTTGAGTGATTGATGTGCGCGTTTGACAGACAGGCTGCGCGCAGCATATGATGAAGGCTCCTCGCGGATAGCTCGAGCTCAGTATGGCATTGGGGGAGAAAAAAAACCTTGAACGTGACATGCTGTTAAATGCTTTCTGTGCAGCGTGCATGCACACCTGCACATGCAATGCATAACCTGTTCAAGATCCAAAGGCTTTATTGTCGTGTGCACAATATCTTGTTGGAAATGAACATCTTAGAAACCAGGCTCTTCCAACAGTGTACAATATACTTAAGACGTTAATTAAATAGTGCAAATGATACAATAGTGTGCATGAATAATAAAATAGGATATACATAATGTTAAATTAAATACTGTGCAGTGGAATAAATACTGCTTATTGTTCTAATATACAAATATGTGGATGTATGTGCGATAAACAAATTGACACTGGGATACAACTTACATCGTAAAACTATTGCTTTGCGGTGAAATATACCCTAACATGTGTCAGTGTGGGTTAAATCCCTACTGGATAGCCTCATAATGCCAAAGAAGATTAAAAATACAGATAAAGGAGAAGCATTATTATTATAAATCCCCAGAGAAAGGTGCATGCAAAGCTACAACCACTCTAACTCCTCATTTGGGTATTGTAAAAATGTTAGAGATAGCATAAGGTCACTGTGAATGAACTCTGAGTCCCCGCAGAGTTATACGGAGGTTTAATAAACAGTAGCTGCAGGTCAGAAAGAATCCCTGCAGGATTATTTAAACCCATACAGTCCCACTTTGACACCCTAAGAGGCCCCCGGGGCCCGGACAGTGATTTTCTGTTGTCTCCTTCACGTCTACATACTAACCGCCTTGTCGTCCTTCTGGAGCGTCAGAGAGGAGCCTCAGCAGCCTGGAATACAGCACCGAGGGGGGAGATGGAGGAGGGGGACGCAGAGGGGGAAGGGCCCATGGTGGGCAGAGAGGGGCCGAACGCCAGCAGCAACATCACCACCACCACCACCACCACCAACCTCCTGGCTTCCGTCAAAGAGCAGGTAGGAGGCAAGAGATGCTGCATTCACACCCTGACTGTTGCTTACGTTTTATTTTCTCACATCTTGGTCATTTATCCAACAACTTATTCACTTTTGAGGCTGCAGCCACGCTGACCTTCCTTACTTCTTCTAAGGATAGACACATATTAGTTACTCCAAATGTTACCCATGTAACTTTAGGAAAATGTCTTTAAAAAAACACCTCAAATAATCTAAATATTCACATAATTGACTCAGTTCAACTGAACACATAAGATGAACAATTATTAAGTAGCTTCTTTTTGTATCTGCGAATGAGTGTAGGTTAATGGCCGATTTGAGACGATGGGGCCCTGGGTTAAGACAACCAAGAGGCCCCACATCCTTAAAAAGAAGAACAAGACCCCCAGACCAGAGACTTTAGAAGCAATAGTGTTGTTTGTTGTCATTTTGCATGTCTTTGTAGTCCTTTAGTGTCTCCGAATCATTTTCGTGGCTTGATAGTGGTTTTGAATCACGTTGTAGACATTTGGCATCTCTTTGTAGATATTTTGCATCTCTTCGGTATCTCTATGTATTTATTTTGCGCCTCTTTGTTGTTATATGGTTGATTTCCAACAAGAAATGTTAACTGTCACTTCAGACAGAGGCTGTGGTCCATGGATCTGTTCCCAGTGCTTTATTTTCCAGTAGTACATCAATGACTGTCTGACTGTGGTACGGGGGGGAACACTGCCCCTCTGGCCCCGCCCTTACTCACAGGATGAATTAAGTCTGTGATTCCCTCAAATGTACTGTGTAAATCCTGAGGATGATCTCCAGATGAGACTGCAATGTATTGGGTCTTTATGCGACGATGATCCTCCTGAATTTCCATGTTGTCCCAATCGGAAAATGGGAAGCACATTGACAAAACGCTGATCCGTGTCATGTCCTTTGCAGTGTATTTTTGATTTGAAAGATGAGGGGCATGGCAGATTTGCATTGAATTAAGAATGAACATATCTTCTTTAGGTCTAACACGTTGCAGGTAATATTCATCCTGTGAGAAAAGGCCCTTTAAACAAACTGACAGCGGTGTAATTAAAGTGTTTTTTTTCACTCATGGCAGTTTTGCTTCTCCCTGAATAGAGAAACGTCAGTATCTCACTTATCTGTGCTTAAATGATGTAACATTTAATTAACGTCTCCCTGGTATATTTTTAGCGTGGACTGTAGATATGGACTGACAGTCAGGGATCTGTTTTTTTTTCTTCCGCCAACTTTTTGTTTTTGAATGTGAGAGACAGTTGCAGCTGTGGTGTGAACGCACCGTCCATCTGTCTTTCCTTCCCACTGTTATTTCTATGCTGCTTTCTATCCCCTCAACATCAGTTTGTCTATTCTCCTGCTTTTAATCACGCCTGTGCTAGTCCCTCGGTTTGAAACTAGATTGCTATTTAAAAGGCTTATAATGTCTACTGACTTTCAATCTCTTAGATCTCTTCTGATGTCAAGTAAAGACTTTTTTGGTGTCCTTGATGGTGCTTTGATTATCGCCGAACACACAAGAAGCTGCTTGGCCACCCCTCGATTACATTGAATGCTTCAACAGCTGTGCTTCTGAGAATCCATGAGTTCGGCATCATTCCCCTGCACATGCATGGAAGGAGATGCATGAAGTGCTTCTGATTCCTTTATTATAAGAAGTCGCAGCACTGTCAGTAATAACCCTGAGAGAAAAGGACTGATTTCCCTAATCAGGTGTTGATAACAGGACGTCTAGATACGGATGATTAAAAGCTAACATCTAACCCTCAGCATGATTGCAATTCTAAAACGGCAAGTTGCCAGACGGTAAACATTTGATCCTGTAGCGCGTCTCAGACTGTTGAACAGGCTGCGAGGAGGATAATCAAGTTTCTTTACCTTGCTCCGTGTTAAAATGCAGACGACGGCGCTGTTCGAGCGGCAAATCCACCGCCTGCAGTTCCTCCACAGAAATGTCACATTACACATGCTAAATGGAGCACACCAGCTATTGCCTTCCATTGTGTTCGGGGCCTG